TCACTGGACATAGTCCATACGTGACTTTCTTTTATAGATTGTAATAATTATTATTACGATTCATGTTAATATATATTACTTATTGTCATTCATATCTGACAGATTGTAATAAAATAAATGAATTATAAACAATAAAAAATTGTGATAATAATTTCAGATGTATTCCATCTAAGTTCCATGTTTTGATGAACATGATGAACAAATTTTATATGCGTATTCAGTAGGTCTAAGAATCGGCTACTATCTATTTTTCATACCGCTAAAGTGATTAGGGTGTCCCTATCCAGCAAAAATATCTTTATTGCTTTAACAAAAATTTTTTTATTTTTTTGACATAAATTTTTTTATATTTTTGAAAAAGAAAACTTGCTATGATATGAAAAGTTGTTGTCTATGAAAATACTGAATTCATAAAACTGCCCCTAATTTCTGCACTATCGTTGATTCCCAAAATGCTCTCATTGACCGCGTATTTCCAGATGTACACTAAAGTGATTAGGGGTCCCTTACTAGCAAAAATATCTTATTGCTTTAATAAAATTTTTTGTTGTTTTGACTAATTTCGTTTATTTTTTTGAAAAGAAAAATTTTTTCTTAATATTTTATGTAACTCCAACAAGTACACGAGATTTACATCCACTTCGTTTCTTCGTCTTCCCCTTGCATGGCAGGATTTTTTTTTTTTTTTTTTTTGTTATTATAAATTGTTTTATTATTATATATGATTTTAAAGAACAATAAATAAAACAAAACAAGACATAAAGCAACTAGTTATTAGATAACTAACAAGCAATTTAAATTTAAATAGATTAGGCGATTCCACGCAATAATAAATTAATTGTACTATATTTCAATGATTTAAGCCCAAAGATCGCACGGCTTTCGGCGCTTTAGACGGCGTATTGGCTCAGTTGTCGCTAGTAAATGCGCCTCAGCATTTATGTGACAACTAAGTCTATCTTGGTGTGATTTGGCTTTGGTATGAATTTCTTCCTGTACTGTTGACACTCCGAGGTCACGATGTAAGTCAGAATTTCTTACGTACCATGGCGCGTTTGTTACACTCCGTAGCATGAAATTTTGGAATCTTTGAATGATGGAAATTTATGTTTTGCTTGCGCAACCCCATAGCTGTATTCCATATGTCCAGATTGGCTGGAGCATTTGTTTGTATAATACAAGTTTATTGAAAAGCGATAGTTTTGATTTTTTGCCGATTAACCATTTCAACGATTTGAATTTAAGATCTAATTCACTTCTTTTCTTTTTTATGTGCTCGCTCCATCTTAGTTTAGCGTCCAAAGTCATACCCAAGTATTTCGCAGTATTCGCGTGAGGGATTTGTGCTTCATCGATGTAGACAGGTATATGACTGATGTTTCGATTTGTGAAATTTACATGCACTGATTTTTCTTTATTCAGATTAATTTTCCATTTTTTTGTCCAAGCAATTATACTGTCCAAACTATTTTGCAAATTATTAGCTGCTATTACTGCGCTTTCTCCAACTGCAAGGACTGCAGTATCATCAGCAAAAGTTGCTGTGAACGTTGTTGCACTCGTTGGCAAGTCGTGTGTATAAATCAGATATAAGAGAGGACCCAAGACACTACCTTGCGGAACTCCAGCGTTAATTTTATGCAGTTTACTATAAGTATCACCGTGCTTTACTCGAAAGTAACGATCAGATAAGTAAGAGGAGATTATGTCATAAT